AATTTTCACGTAAAACAAAGTCAAACGAACACTAAACTTTGATTAAAAAATGATTTTTTAAGAAACAATTTTTTTTCCCTTTTTTTTTTTTACTTTTTGGCAATGGAAACAAATTTCATAACCAATTGTGGAAAAAATTATCACTTTAATGAACAATTTTTATGTAAAATAAAGCTAAACGAACACAATTTAAAAATTTTCCGGGTGAAAATTATATTAATCAAATACACTTAATTAACAATTCCCTGAAAAACAATTTCTAGATAATTATTTTCTCTAGAATTCATTTTCTTTCCACCCATGCAATCAAATGAATCCTAAGAAGATTACATTTGTCGATTTTGTGGACCGACTCAAGTGCAATTTCTTGCAATAAACTAGATTCCAAAGTTTTTGTTCTCCCGTAGAACGATAAAAACTGCATTAATCAAATAATTAACAGTAGGGAAGACCCCTTTCTGGCCTAGGTAGATCATATAAATAGGGTAGTCTTACTCTTCTCTCAAAAGGAAACATTATAGGACATGCACAAAACCAGAGATGTACAAATTCAAAATGCAGCCAAGCCTGGTATGCCTCACATGAGAAGTTCATTATATGCCTTGAAGTTTACTCCTCGACTTATTGAGGCGCACACTCTAAACATAGGCCCCCGGGCTGAGATATGAACTCGTTTGCCTTGCCCTTATGGGCTGTTTTCCATAATCTAAGCCCTTGTTTGGCTATGGTTTATAATCGATTAAATCACTTTATATCCACATATTTTATTGCCCACAAATACTATACACTCATCCACCATTTCTATTTGTTTATAATTTAAACAGTTTATAAACAACTCCTAAACATACTTTAAAATGTTTGGACTATGTTGAACACAACCAAACTTAAAAATTTAAAAGGTAAAAAAGGGTTGGAGAGGAGAGCGAGTGAAGTTAGAGTGCCCTAGCCTCCGACAATTGAAGTGCGATAAACCCTTCTCCCAAGTGAAGTTGCAACTCCTCAACGGCGAATGGCCGTTAACAAGAAGTCTATGACATACAACTTCACTCTTTTTGTACTTGCTCAATTGGTACAAGGATTCAACTTAAATCTCTCATTAAGTAAATGTTTTGAGTTCGAATCCTGGGAGACGAGATAGAAAGCCGTGAAGGAGTAAGTGGGCATAGGACCAACCTAAAACGGACAGTACGTAAGCTAACGGTTTGGGTATAGAGACTCAAATCGTTAAAAAAAAGGCGTATTTTTTTGTAACAACCCGACTTCTATGCTTGAGCCGTTATATCATACGTAGTGTTCACTTTGGATGGGGATCTATCCACTTAATCCCTCACGAATTTCTATCGCGTCCCCCACTGCCTAATGAGAGACTTACAATTGGTACCGAAATTCAACTTAAGTATCTCATTAGACAGTGATCTTGGATAAGAATCATGGAGGACGCGATAGAAATCCTTGAGGGGTTAAATGGGCAGATACCCGCCCAAAGCGGACATTACGTATGATATAACGACTCGAGCATAGAGGCTTGATCGTAACACTTTTCTTTCTTTTATCTTTTTATATCACCTTTTGTTTCATTTTCTTTTAGCATTTACAAGATATAGGAAAGGAAATGCTCCCTTGCAAGTGGAGGATAGGGAAAAAGAATGCAAACATTGAACAATTGATAGTGATAAAAGGATGATAAGGAATCAAATATCACAACGATTGCATCAATAGTCATCATATGGAAGACTTTTAGGCCTTTGCTAGACTTTTACGGTATTAGGAGATTATCAATTTTGTTGTGTGATTATAATTTGATGATTCATTGTTAGCATCAAAAGAATCATATTCCATGCCTGGGGAGGTCCATTAAGTTATCCATGTCGTTTGGCCTACAAGCTTACCATTTTGTTAGGTTAAACATGCAAACTTAGAATAATATCCTTCTTCTATTTGAAGTGGATCTCACTGCACCGTGATATCAAAATATCCACTTCCACAATACTGCCCTAGTAGGCAGCCAATAGGACTCCCTTGGAGGTGCCATAATGACAGCTTTTAGCAATCATCTATGATGCCATAGATGAGGAACAAGCCCATCATGCTTATGACTACATGCACAGGTGCACACTTAGTTGGGAAAAAGCTACTGCCAAAGGAAGTCCCATTTTTGCAAAAGAATTGAAGGTACTCACGAAATAAGCAAATGGTCCTTTATGGGATATTCAAAGAATTGCCGGTTTGGAACACTATACAAGAGATATGTCTCAATCTCGCATTGTGGTACCTGGGACCTCAAGTTTGAGATACCACATTGTTAGAATATGTTTTTTTTCCTTTTTGTTTAAACATGTATTTTCAAAGTGTGATTAAAAGAGAATGGCCATTTCAAACAACTAAAGAAACAAGAATAGCTTGGGACATCAATCAATGTTTCTTCTTGTCGGGCTTCTTTTGTTTATTGGTTTCCTTGTTCTCAGTCAAAGGTTATAACCAGTAACATGGGAGTTTGCTTCCTTGGATCCCTCATCGGAACTAGATTGGGAATTATCTTAAGGAGACTTAAGAAAATAAATAAATAAATAAAAATTGACATACTAGAGTAGATGCACTAGCTTTAATAGTTTCTTGGTAAGACTTAGAACAGGGCAGTTGTTTAGCTTTATATGTACCTCAAGACTTGTATCAGTTGACTCTTTTTGCATAATAATGTAACTAATTGGTGTCTTGAAAGAATAAGTGTACATGTTACAATTGGACTTCTTAACACATGACAGAATCAGAAAAGGTTTTCAACCCAAATTGTTGGAACAAAATTCTATGTGGAATAAAATACTACAAGATCTGAGCACACAGGATCGCCTCTTGAACCCAAATAAGAATCAATTAAATCCTAAGTCACCGGGCAATAAACCAGGGAGGTTATGAGATTCCAAAATGGTTAGAAGTGATATATTTGTTTAGCTTAGAATCACGGGCAAATGACATTAGTTCACTAATCAGTGTTATCTTTAAGGTAGGTGGGTTTAGCCAAACTAAGTAGTGGATTGGTAGGTTAGACAACATATATTGCAATTATAATTTCGCAGACAAGACTAGACACACACTCCACCTGAATAACAGACATTATTTTCCACTATTTTCTCAATTTTCCTAAGATTCAACAGTCTAACATATAGGAAGAAATGATATAAGAGTAATATTCCTATTTATATTAACATCTGCACAGTCTAGTTGTTTACTAGTGAGTTAGTAATCCTCAATTTTGAAGATGACAATAATATATCAAAAATTCCAACCTAACTCATCCCATTAACATTGGTTTCTAAGCCATCCCCATCTGATTCCCCAGCCATAGTCATTGTTTTAACAGCCTTGCCCATCCTAAATCATTCACTCCCATTTCACACAATTCATAAATCATACCCTGCCATTACCATTGCCTTATTTCAACACCTTGGGTCCCTCCACGTGCAGTAGCCAAACTGCTTGCAAGCAAAACAGCCAGACCCTCATATTTCCCCAGCCACATTGTTTACATAAAACAAACATGTCAGGATCAAAAATTGGTTGAATTCTCTCGTCATGCCACTATTATGTGTTCAGTGCATAGTTCAACTTACCTCTTGCTCGAGCTTCAGATGTGAGAATCTGACTAAGCATCACTTGTCTTTGTTCTTCCGCTTCCCTAATTCAATCATATTCAAGGTTCAAGTCAAGAAAACTGCACCAAAAAAATGCTAACATATGCAACGCAAACTAGAATTTCTACAAGACAATATTAAAATTAGATTAAGAAGGAGATTAACCTCTTAGCTTCCTCCTGGGCATTCTGCTGTTCAGAATTTTGCTGACTTCCCTATATTTCAAGAGTAATTAGTAACACCTAAAGACGGTACACCATAAAAGCAATAGAACACATGTGTAAGCAAACAGTTAGTCACCATGCCACGTTGAGCCATTAACTCCTGCATTCTTCTTTGCCTAATCGCTTCCAATTCTGGGTCAGCCTGGAATACAGGAAAATTCACTCTGTTAAGCTTAAATTTCTACTCCAAAATATAAAAAACCCACTGATGCTCTTGTATCATCTTGTCACAAATTTGGTTACACAAGTATTTATGAGCAGATCAAAAAGACGTGTTTAAAAAGGTTTAATGGGTACTAAGGCATTTATCTCCATGAGGCGAGGTGTAAGCCTCAAGATAGACCAATTAAAAGAATTCAAAAGAATAGAAAAATACAAAAATATGCTCAAAATATACCATAAACCCTTTAAAAAAATCCATAATATAAGTACTAATTATCAAAAATTTACGTTTAAAAGTGGAGGCAACTCAAAATTTTCTTATATCATCACTAATAGAATGATCTTTTAAGGGAATCATCATGATGTTTGCATTCTTTATCATCATCCTACAATTGCAATGGCATATT